AGGAACATTTGAAATGTGTGTGTGTGTGATTATGGCAAAGCCTCGAGGGGCCTAAGGGGAGGGATGCCTTAGTGTTAAACTTTCTAAGGGAAACTAGCTCGTATACACGTTACACATGGGGAAAACCACGAAAACGCCCATGCAGCCAGCCTGTTCGCGGGATTCGAACCTCGGACCGAACTACCAGTGTTCAGCGACTTTACCGCTCGGCCGCTGGTGGGCCGCATTTGAAATGACAAGGCATTTAAGGCAAAAAAGGGTGTCTCTTTGATATTTTGCATTGTTCTGCCATTTTGAAGACTAGACTTTCAAATTAAAATAATGCTACAGATGTTCATGAAAATTATCTATAAACTGGATCTATTATAAATATTTGTAGTTAAATAATTTAATTAGGTTATTAAAACAGAAACTAAAATAACTAATGGTAACCGTGTTCTTGATTACTTACAGCCGGGACGGTGGAACTTTACCTACCTGCCAATTTTTTGAAAGAAATTTTCGATATTGCTGTTAAATGCTAATATAAAATGATGATTAACTCATTTCGGCTAATCTTTGGAATACAGTAACAGGTAGTTTAGCGACATTTTGGTAAGGCGATAAAGGTTACTAGCTAGGACTTTAGCAGTGTACATGGATAAAGTCAAGAGTGGGCGCAATGCCATTTTTGCAATTCTGGGATGTTTTTTTAAGTGAAAATAGGTCGTCGTGTACATGGATGATACCGTGTATGTGCAATTCTTAAAAACGCGGCAAGCAGTGGGCGATTCTGCACTTTGTCCCAATTTCGCACCTAATCTTCGTCATGATTAAGCACTTTTGTTCCAAAAAAGTTCTAGCATAAGCGTAATTCGGCTAGCAGATTGTTGGAAAAAAATATTGAGTTAAAAAAAAAAAAAGCCTTTATTTAGTGAAAACAAAATGGTGTTCAAACAAAAACTAGCAGGTTGCTGTAGCAGGGTTGGTCGCCAAATTTTCGCCAAAAAATCGCCAAGTTACCATTATCTAAAGATTAACCCTCATTTCTAAAAATAATGAATCATAGGCATAGGTAGATGAAATTATTGCCAAAATAAGAAGCGTCAGCTTCTTGAGACAGTTATACGTGTCTAGAATTTTTCAAAGTAGCCATGTTGAATAATACTTAAAGTTGTAAATATGACTCACACAAGCAAGCGCAATTACTACCGACCTAAGCACACTTCAAAACGAAACAAGAAAAAAGTTGTAGCCTCGCGCCTTTTCCGCCGTCCGCGCAGGCTCACTCCCGTTCGGACCACGATCTCAGCTCACAAGCGGAATAGTTTTGAAAATGCTCAGACGTCAACTGACTTTGCTGATAGTAAGTACGTGTAAATTCCTCAAATAATGGCGTGCCACTGGTTCGCCATCCCTGACCTACAGTTTGGCAGTCAGTAGTTAACGAGTCACCGATATGGAACAAGCTGTAAATTTAAATAGCATTTACATTAAAATTAGGCCTAAGAACATCAATGGCCGTTGAAATTATTGATCACGTTGAGGGTCATTGAGATAAACCTAAATGTCCCGGTTGCAGGGCAATACAATAAATGAAAATGAATTTTACAATCAAACCTAAGGCATAAAGTAAATTAGGGGTTTAAATATTTTAAAATTCGCTTCAAGCAGAATGGTGTTCCTTCAAAGCTGTTGGTCACTACTGACCTACAAGTTTAAGGTCACTTGGAGACAGCCCATATTGTTAAGAACAGACTCAGTGACTTTCGTGAAATATCGTTTTATATAAATTAACTATAACCATGCAGTTGAACTTTCGCGCTTTTATTCACTTCGATTAGGACTGGGTTTCTTAAACTTTTTTCAGTCGCGACTCCTTTTTATCACTGAGGTTTTTCCGCGACCCCCAGGACGCCATAATATTTACAAAAATTTTGTGAGACCTCATAAGTATTGCGCAAATCCGACACACGCGTGAGTGAAACTGTCAATTTTTTCACGTGTTACTGTAATATACTATTGCAGTTTTAGGTCATTAATTTTAATTTCTAATTTTCCGACATAGAACAATGTTAAAATTTTAAATAAGTAACAGATGAAATGACAGCGTCACGTGCAAAGCAACGAAAATGGACGTTTCTATTATTATAAAAAGAAATACGTCGAAAAGTTTTCGTTTTTGTCTGTATTGTCTTGTTTTTATCTATTTTCAGATACATTGTGTAAAAATATTTGGTAATTGTAAAATTACCATAATAAGTTAAAGAAATATCAGAACTTCTAAAATTTTTGGCTACCCACAGTTTAAGAAACCCTAGATTAGAATATTCTGTGACAGAGACTTTAAAACAGTAGTGTGTGTGTGTGATTATGGCAAAGCCTCGAGGGCTATGTGCCTAAGGGGAGGGATGCCTTTGTGGAGGACTTTCTAAGGAAAACTGGCTCGTATACACCTTACACATGGGGAAAACCATGAAAACGGCCATGCAGCTAGCCTGTTCGCGAGATTCGAACCTCGGACCGAACTACCAGTGTTTAGCGACTTTACCGCTCGCCCGCTGGTGGGCCTAAAACAGTAGTGTACAATGCAGTAGAAACATTTTCTGTAGTTAAAGGGAGACTTTTTCAAACTTCTCAATTTAATCGATACTTTATCATAAAATTTTCAGAAAGTCAGGTGATCACTTTTACGATTTTACACTCAAAATATTACTTATATAGGTATGAATCACTCTAGATTTCAAAAACTTTCTTCAGTAGCAGAATCACATGTAGAAGCCGATATAGAAAATCCTTCTACAATATTTAATATTGAAGCACTGAAATGTTCCTTCTGATTATTAAATTTATCTTTTTATTCAAAGAATCATTTTTATGAATTGCGGATTCAAAATTCTTCCAAAATATCACTCATCCATTAATATCACCGTAGAATTTAGAAATACTTACTTCCGGTAGTTTAATACGCATAAGTTCTGTTTCGAATTTATATTTGGTATAATTATACTGTTATCAGTTTCACTATGCATACGCTACACTTGGCGCGAAATTTCCGGACGATTACTTTATCAGTACATTCTCCAGCTGCTGTCATTTCGGTTTCCAGTTTATCTAGATTCACTAGCAACTCCGACCCATTATCAACAGCTTAGAGTGAATCAAATGTACTTGTCAAAATTATAATGAGTTTCTCTAAATTATCGGATGTTACTCCTTCCGTTTTCGCGACTGGACACGTTGCCATTTAGGGGAATGAATTGGCGGATATTGCAGCTAAAACTGCAACCACAATGTACAATCTTCAGATTCCACTAGCAGACATCAAAGGATTTGTTAAAAGCAAAATTCTCAGCAAATGGCAGAAGCAATGGGATGACAAAGTATATAACAAGCTGAGAAATGTAAAACCCACCATTGGATACTGGCCATGTATGGCTAATAGAAGGGAGGATGTCCTCTTGACTCGACTGAGAATTGGCCATTGTCGCCTGACCCATGAGTATCTTCTGAAGGGAGAAGAGAATCCCAGCTGCCCAAACTGCAATGCAGATCTGACAGTCCATCACATCTTGGTATAATGCCAGAGTTTTAATTATTTTCGCCAAAAACATTTTAATTGTTCAGAACTGGACTTAGGAAATTTAATTGGAAAAACATATCATCGTAATTTATTTCTGTTTTTAAAAGATATTGGCTTTTATAATAGACTTTAACCTGTTTTTTTAAAAGATATCAGCTTTTATCATAGACTGTAATCTGTCTCTTTTTACCTAAGCTAGAAGTTTTTAAAAATGACTAATTGCAATGTTACTATTTGTCTGGCGCAGATAACCTTGACAGGTTTTGTGCCAAATTACAATAATCCAATCCAATCCAATCCAATCCGTTTTCGCGAATTCATGTTTCAACTTAACTTATTCAGTGTTTTAGTAACAGACGCTCGGAGTATTATTTATCTAATTTCTCAGAAGACATGATTTCTTATATGTAAAATATATTCTAAATGTTTCAAGTTCAACAATAATTGACTGCCAGTACCGGCAAGGGATGCAACGGTAATTAAATTTATAAGAAATTCACATTTAAAATAGTAAGAGTTACCAGTTCGTCTTATATCTTAGATTTTCGTATTTATAAAACATTCCCGGTAGCAGTCGATATAAAGTATCTCATAATAAAAGTATCTCAGTAATAAGTATCTCAGTATAATAAAAGTATCTCAGTAATAAAGTATCTCAGTAATTGAATATTGAGAATTTATTAACATACTTACACATAAAATTATACAAGAAACAGAATGAAATGAACAGAGGTTGCAGAGCAAGTTATCGCTACCAAACGATTATAGGGGGGAATACAGTAAAATTCAAAGCGAGAAGCTCCACTAGTGGTTACAGTTAATTTATATAAAATGATATTTGACAAAGGTCACTGAGTCTATTCTTGGCACATATAGTATGGGATGATGGCGTAAATTTAAATACATATTAAAATCCAAGCACATTAGTATTCGTCAAGGTTGTCAATTGAAGTTACAAGTTACCAGCATGAGACAGTGGAATAAAATTAAAATAATTTTAAAATAAAGAAAAATGAAGAAAAACGTTGCCGTTCAAAGCTGTTGGTATCCAGTGACCTAAATGGAGGATTGCTAGGATTAGTTCTTAAGTTTACCACTGTCGGGCAGAGTAGGTTTAGACAGATTTGAAGATTAAAATTAGAGCTTCAGTACTGTCAGTTTCATAACGATTTCTTCATTCTGTGTAGGAGAAATTGATTTTTGTGTTCATTGTTTTGAATACTGGGGGGGGGGGATATTTACCGCAAATAAAGACAAGTCGGAAATTCAACAGTCTCTCAGTCCACATTATGTTGTTGTGGGACTCTGCTATATATGTTTTTTACGAAGGAAGTGGGAAACGTTGTAGCAATTGTTTCTGAATGTCATAGGCCCTTAAGTATCATACTGGTATGACTACTGATTCTACACACCCCAGAAAGGAATATTAAGAACTGACCTTCCTTCCCGCCTGATTATTGTGGAGGTTCATTAGGGAACGGGCGTCTCCCTCTAGCTCTCTAGAATCGATGAACTTCCTGGACAGTCGGATTCCGAATTTAACATCCACGCTACAGCCGCCCCACTTCCAGTCGCCCTGGTGTGACTTTGCAGACTTGGTGCTACTGCCCCTGGAGCGGTCGCAGCCGCAGTCACTGACGTTTCCGCGGCTGCAGGACTGGGTGATGACGAAAGTGACGCCAGCTGATGTCACGCTATATACGTAGGCTGCCTCCCGACTGCCTGCAAGAGAATTTAAGCAGATTAAAAGAAAATGAAACGATTCTGTAAAGATGTATAATATCTATGGTGTTGCAAACATGTTTAATTAATTAGAATAAATAAATCTTAAAATATCCATAACAATTAATTCGGAGGACAGCAATGACCATCGAGGACATATCATGGACATCAATGACAAACACGTTCATGGTCACCGGTGCAGTTAATTTAGGTACATTATAAAAATAAAATTAATTCGAAGGACATCATTTGCCGTCAAGGCTGTTGATCACCGTAATTTAAGCATTAAAGGCCACCATAGAGAGACCATTAAATCCTTTGGTGCGTAAAACTTGAAAAATGAAAACTTCGAACCTTTCAGTTGCCAGATGAATATGCTAATCGTTTGCAATACGATTATTCCTTACGTCTGCTGTTTAAAGAGTGACTGGTGGAAGGGCCGAGATCAGCCAAAAAAATCCGGTCACTGGTCGTCGGCAAGTAGTCATAAATTACCGTTCACCACACTAGGAAATTCAATTGCTACTGTCAAGGCTTACTAAGTTTTTTATTGTCTTAACTATTTTACTAAGTCTAACTAAGCAGAACTAACTGCTGTCTAACTAAGTAGGACTAACTGCTGTCTAATTAAGCAGGACTAACTAAACAGGAAACATAAATATTTAATTGCTAATTTGTGGGATTTGATTACTTTCAAATGGATGTAACCATTTGCACTACAACAGCAGGCAGTAGTCAGTTCCTATGTCACCAGTGTGGGAGACGCAGTACATACATATAGATTACCGAAATAAAACTGAACCTTAAGATAAAGATATTGTTACGAAATGTACAGGCGCGTTGAGATAGCTTCCCCGCAAAGCAGTTTGAGGGTTGCCATAAAAATAGCAATGGAAGGCAGGGTTGCCACATTTGGCGACAAAATTGGCGGTATGCCATGGACGGATGGAGAACCTTCTGGAACGAATTCTTACTGGTTTAGCACAGAATGGTCTCGAACACAAGCCGAAAGCTATATAAACCCTGCGGTTCCGCAGTCAGTCAGTGTGTGTGCCTCGTCTGGCGAGCTGATAGTCAGTCATTGAGCGAGTGTCTCGAACTCTAGCGCCGAGTTGGTCGTCGAGTGCATCGAGAGAGTCTTTTAGTGCATCGTCGAGTTTTGTCTTAGTCTATGCCGAGTCGAGAGCTATACTCTTCTGTATCGTCGAGTGCACCGCGTAGAGAGTCTCGAGAGAACGTGGAGTTCCGAGAACGACCAAATAGAGTCGGAAGCTGTACTCTGGTGCTTTGCAGTGAAGCTGTCGCCACCGTTATTGCCTGACAGTGTGAAGTCTGTGTCGCTGAACGTGTCAGCGTGTTTTTAACAGTTCGACGACTGTAAAAGTGATTTTGGAGCTGTCCTGAGAATATTGATAAATAAAGTGTGTATCCATACTTCATCAAGTGTCGTCGTTATTCACTCCAAATCTACGAACCCCGTACGAACGTGAAGGAAGAAAATAACGTAACAATATCGATCAAGGTCACTGGTCATTGACTATTTCTGGATTAACAGTCACCATGTGGAATATTTGCGCATTTGCAAAAACACATCGATGAGAAATTCATAATAGTATAACGTAATATAATGCTTCGAAATTAAAAAAAAATTTCAGTGAAGATGTTTTTAATGTGAAACCTTAAATTTTTAGGTAGAGTGAATTCTTTCAAAGGTGATCAACCCCAGTTTCAGGCGATTTCAGTCTTCTGTGGAGGTGATCATCTTAAGGAGATGATATTCAATACAATATCATTTATGTTCTGGAAACACTTTCAAAGTAGGTCCTCACGACAGGATTTAGAAAAGCATAATATAAACCTAAAACACATAGACTTATGAAAAAGCATAACATAGCTTTCTCATAAGCAACATCTTTTTTTCTCAAAAAATGTTAAAATGTCATGTCATACGATTTGCCCGGTGATACAGTATAAGATGTTTGAAATCATCTATACATTTATTTACATAGGATGTTTGAAAACGCGTGCAGGGTTGCTTGCAGTCTTATATTTCTTACAGAAGAAATGAACTCAACAGATTACGCTTTAAGATGATCATAATTTTGTACACGTGACACTTTCAAATATTAATTTACGAAACATAAAGTTTCAAAACGGCCTCATAGTTAAAAAAAAAAGCGGGTGGATGACGGAAAATTATTTCCTGTAGCCAAACCAATTAAATAAATAAATAGATAATAAAAAAAGTCTGAAAGCTTTCAGATTTTATGTTACGCCCGAAAAGGGCGCTTTTTTAACGTTTAGTGTATTATCTTTGTTTATTAAACATCATGTTCTTCGCACTTACAACACAGATAATTCAATTCAACAGCAATGTCAAAAAATATTTAAAAACAGCATATCTTTAGAATTTCGGATACGCAGTCTTGCTCGGAGGAGATAAATTTTTTTTTTTTTTTTTTTTCTGTTCTGTGTTGCCATTACACGCTTTGAAATCGTTGAGTTTGTTAATCAAAAATTCGTTAAAGTTCTACAGAATTTTAAATAGATAATAAAACAAATTCGAAATTCAAAATTCGGGCTTCCAAGTGCCCATGTTCGGTTCCAGGACTAATTGGTTATTATTGTTGGATTATTATTCAAAATTGGATTGCTCTAGGTGCCGTTGTTTTTTCGCAATGTGGGAAACATTTAAGCATTTATGCAGATTCTTCATTATTTAGTTTCTTTAAATATAATACATGGCGATAATATTTGGTGGCAACAATTTGAAAAGTAAATCGGCGCAAAATCCCGTTTTGAAATTAACAGCCCTTTGGGCTAAAAGTCAAAGAAGAGTTTACAGTTAAAAGTATAAAATAAATAAATAAATGTCATAAAAACGCTCTGCCAATATTTCATTTTTCTTAATTAAAAATAATACTTATCGCTGCCAATTGATATAATTAAATCCTTAGATGTTGAATAAAATTATTCAGCCAACTCAATTTGAATTTCAGATCTGATTGTTCCGGCGATTGCTTTACATTTCAATTTTTCGATGCAAAATATTTCCATTTATTATCACGAGCTCCGACCCCACCAGCGGCCGAGCGGTAGAACCCTGGTAGTTGCGTCCAAGGTTCGAATTCCGCGAACGAGCTGGCTGCATGGCGTTTTCGTGGTTTTCCCCATGTGTAACGTGTATACGAGCCAGTTTCCCTTAGAAAGTCCTCCACGAAGGCATCCCTCCCTTTAGGCAGAAAGCTCTCTTGTGCTTTGTCGTAATTAAATAATCCAATCCAATAATCCTATCACGAGCTCCGACATTGGCCACTACACAGAAACGGAGGAATACCCCGGAATGCCTTTTTGATGGAAATTGGCTCGCATTGACATTACACATGGGGGGGGGGACCAGGAAAAGCCCATGCAGCCGGCCCGTTCGTCAGGAATCGAAGCCCAGACTGAACTACCAGTATTCAGCCGCTTTCAACGTGCGGACGCTGGTAGGCCTGCAAAATAATATCAATACCAAAATAGGAAACTATTAAAGCGCCTAATGTCAACAAAATTGTTAAAAAAGTTTGAAAGGGTTCAGATTTTAATGATCGCCTAAAAGAATTTATTAAGTTTTTTACGCCTTCACTCAGCTTGCAATATACCGTCTGCAGTACTACTCACTCCTGCAAAACCAATTTCTTTTTGTCTTTTTAGCGTTATTATTAAGAATCATTTCCTTCGCACTTACGCCATATAAAATACAATAGCAAAATGATAAAAATTGCAAAAGCAGCATAGCAGCTGTGGAGCTTAAATTTCTCGATGCAGTGTTAAGTGTTGGCACACTTTCTTCTATTTTTTTTTCAGTCTTTCTCAGTTCATCCTATCAATATTCAGTTTTCTTACTAAAATGTCTTTACAAAACTTTTTTTTTTTTTAAAATTATTAAATTTTTGTGTGTTTGCTTTATTTATTAAATATCACGCTCTTGACGCGTATGCTACACAGAATTCGATTCAACAGCAAAATATTTAAAAGCAGCATACCTTTAGAATTTCCGATAGGCAGTCTCGCGCGCTGGAGATAAAAATGTTTTATTCCGTACAGTGCTGATCTATTATAAAAAAAGAGAAGTTGACTCCAAATCGTGAAAAGAAGGGAATTGCGCTTTCATTTCTTTAAAAATATTAAACCGATCGTTCAGAAACTGGCTCTGAACCATCAAGCACAAATATCTTACTGATCATACTTGACTGTTTCATTGATATTACGCTTTTAGTGTATATTTTTGGACGTTCATTTTAAAATTATTTAATAAAGAATAAAGAAAACATAAAAGATCACTTAAGCATTTTGTTTTTTGTCATTAATCAATTCAATTTTAACAAAAGGAATGCAATTACCTTCTAGGGCCAAACTATCGAGTTAAATCATATAAATTTGGTGCGTAAGTCTAACTGGGAAAAAAAAAAAAAAAAAAAAAAAAAAAAAAATACACACTTAACATTTTTCCCTTTTGCAATTCAAGAACTGCCCTTTCCCACGGTGACGGCCACATTTAGATGTGAAAGTTGAGCCGAAAAGGATAATAGTGGACTTTTATCCGAAAATTCTTCCCCTTCACTTAAAAAACAAGATTTTTATAAACGGGAGTTGCGTTGAAAAATATTTCGATCCTTAGGGGATGGCAGCTTTGAAAAGGTTAAATATCACTGCTTTAGACCAAAGCGCGAAAGAAACTTTTATCTTCTCGCTTTCACGCATAGCCGATTCTCAAGAGTTTTATTATTCTACAAAGCATTAAGACCCTGATTTTTCTTTCAAATCAATTGGTTATTGATTAGTGAATTGAGTGATTTAAACATAATAAACGCCCTTCTTAATGATTAAAAATTTTTTAATGAAATGTTTAATGCTAAACTTTTTTTTCCCTTTTTTCTGCTATATTACGCAACAATATTCAAGATTTTTCCTGTTACAATTTATATCTTATTAAAAAGAATAAAACACTTTGCCCA